AGAACCAGACCCATTCAGCTGGGAAGACATTGTGGATATTTTCTGGGAAGAACCCCAGGTGGCCGGTAGAGATGGGACCGAGGTCTCTCCACCGGTCCTGCAGGGAATTGGGAGCCCAGTCTCCATTCCCCAGCGGCAGTATGATGCTTTGGGAATTGGGAGCCCAGTCTCCATTCCTAATGCAGGGGTAGGGCCTGGGCTCCATTCCCAGCTTGACTTGAGCTGAGTTACAGGGGACAGAGATGAGTAAACCCTGTCCCCAGCAGCTGAATAGTGCAGGGGTGGGGCCGAGCTCCATTCCTAGCCGAGGGAGAAATTGCGGGGAATTGGGAGCCCGAGGCTCCATTCTAGCCGGGGAAGATGTGCAGGGGTGGGAGCCTAGGCTCCATTCCCCAGCGACAGAGCTTCGGGGATTCACAGGGGCAGAGGTAGTTGTTCCTGCCCCCAGCAGATGAATTGCGGGGAATTTGGGCGAGCTCTCCCATTCCCCAGCAGGAGAATGTGCAGGAATTGGAGCCTGAGCTCCATTCTATGACTTGTGAAACTGAGTTACAGGCGAGAGGTAGTTGTTCTGCCCCAACGTAGGTGATATGCGGGAGAAGGCAGTGGGGAGATCAGGGAGGAGGAGGCAGTGTCACTCCTCCCCAGCGGCAGCGTGATTTTTGGGGAATTGGGAGCCCAGTCTCCATTCCCCAGCGGCAGAATGATGCTTTGGGAATTGGGAGCCCAGTCTCCACTCCCCAGCGGCAGCACAGATTATTGGGAATTGGGAGCCCCGTCTCCATTCCCCAGCGGCAGAGTGTCCTACCGGGAATAGAGAGCCCAGTCCCCTTTTCCCAGCAGCAGGACTCTGTATTGGGAGCAGAGACAGTCGGTCTCCCTCCCCCACAGCTGGAAGTATGTATGGGAGAGGAGCTTGTTACCCCCTCTCCCCAGCGGCAGCTTAATGTACAAAGGGGAGACAGTAAGCCCCACAACCGTGCAGATGGGACCGTAGTCTCTACACTGCCAGCACAGGGGGTAAGGACGGTCGGTCCTGCCCCCCAGCGACAGGGCTGTTTAGCCAAAAGGGAGACAGTCGGTCTCCCCCTCCAGCAGCAGAGATGGGTAACCAAAGGGGAGACGGTCGGTCTCCAGCAGCAGGACTGTGCATCTAAAGGGGAGACAGTCAGTCCCCAGCAGCAGCAGCAGAGCGGTGTATTTAAAGGGGAGACAGTCGGTCTCCCCCTCCAACAACCAGGCTTCCACCAGGCTACCCTCCCAGTAGCGCTGGCAACAGGGCAGAGTGCAGCTGGTCTCTGCCCACGCAGCAACCCACCAAGTCAGCGTACCCGTACCCAGCACAGCCGTGGTGAGGCACCTGGACATGGACAAGCTTCTCCTTTACCCAGGTGTAGTAACCATTTATTGTGGGTGGGCTGTGCTGTTGATTATTTGTTGTGGGTAGGCTGCTGGACTAACAAGGGCACTGACCGGCAGGAGGTCAGATACCCTGTTAGTCTGTTTGGAAAAGGGGAGAGATGTGACGAGACCAATCTCGCCACATTGCATTGGAGAAGCCTGGTTGCTCGCCTGCTGCCTTTGGACTATGGCCCCTTTGTAAAAGACTTTATTTTTGCAGGCAGAAAAGCTGTATTCGTGCTTTTCTGCCGGTTGTTCGGTAGTTTCAATCTACCGAACAACAGTACGAATGACTGGACCACCTGGGAGCTGGAGTGTGCCGGCAATTAACCTCCCTGAAGCTGCGGTTAACCGCAGCTTAATTGATGAACGCTGGGTGG